ACTCCCCCAGAGTATAACTGCTGCACTTCCTGACAGATCCCCAAATTTTTTTATTTTCCACGCCAATGATATTCACCTATGACTAAAATAAATCCCAATTGGTCAGCTCTTCTCTGGGAAATTCTGCCCCAATGAATGGCTTTTTGGTACCTAAAACTCTGTAAGAGGGAAAACTCTCAAATTAATTTTGATCATCCATTCATTCATTTTGAGAAGCAGTGTTCTTTAGAAAAGCTTATATAACCTAAAAATGACTTCTATTACATTTCAGGCTATTTCCTCTGGTTCAGTTCTTACAAGAGAAAAAGGACAGACTGATGGACTAAATGGAGATTTAGAAATCCAATTGGAGCCAAATCTGAGAGTTCTTTGAACTATCATCAACTTTTCATCATTACTGCTCTATTTTTAAAACATCTTTGCTTTTTCTGTGTTTTAAATTGCAAAATAATACATTTTTAAAACATTCCTTGTGGTTTAGAAGTTAAATATATTGAAAGAAAATCGGGTTCACTCAATGCTCTTGGAAGGGTTAAGTTTTCAAAAATTGCTTCCTAGAGAGATATAATTTGGCAGGTAAGCTTAGCAGCATGTGACTTCCTTGTGTTCCTCAATTAGAGAACAATGCACACACAGAAAAGGACTTATGCAACCTTGGTTTTGATTTCCCTACCCCCAAATCAAAGTAAGAGGAAAAACAGTCTACCGTGGTCTTATTAGTAACATCTGAAACTTTTTAATATAATGTCTAGGTGCTCACATCACAGAACTTAGTACGTCTAGGCAGGTCAAAGATAACGCTAGGGAGGTCAGAATGACATGCAGTATTTTGTGCAACAAGTAACTTGCTCTTATCTTCCTTGGTTTTTAAAAACTCCTTTGGGAATTAAGGAGAGTGTTCAAATCTGGCATAACAAAAAATGCAATTTCCAGGCATGGTGAAACGTGCCTGTAATCCTAGCACTCGGGAGGCTGAGGCAGGAGGATTGCTGAGTTTGAGACCAGACTGGACTACATAGTAAGTTCAAGGCCAACCTGAACTACATAGCAAGACCCTGTCTCAAAAAACAAACAAACAAACAAACAAAAAAACCTCATCATTCGCAAGGGTAATTGCCAGCTTATTATCTTCTAAGTCAGTATTATGGTTTAGATCTAAAATGTGCCCCCAAAGTCTCACATGTTGAGAGGTGGGGCTTTCAGGAGTGACTGGATCATGAGGACACCATACTTATCCACTGATGCCTTCATTGCTGAATATGCTCTGGGGAGGTCAGCCCTGGTCAGAAGAGGCAGGTCGTGGAATGACCTGGAGGACTGTATTCTGGTCCCTGGCTCCTTCTCATTCCTGGCTGCAATGGGTTAAGCACCTTTTTTCTGCCAGGCCTTCTGCCATGCCATTTCTGCTTTGGAGCTGTCCTACCATGGACCAAACTCTCTGAAAACATGGGCCCAAATCAATCTCTCTTTAAGTTGTGTATGTCTGGTATTTTGTCCCAGTGACAGGAAAGCTAATACAGTCAGTATGTATCTATGCTTAAAAACATAATCTGGGAAATAAGTTAAATTCTGATTAAAAAGCTTTCTTTTGACAGAATAGAAACACATCACAAAAGTTGAGGTTTCATAACCAAGAAAGAGAAAAAAAAGCAGTTTGATTTTAAAAACTACACCTTCTTCTCTTAAAAGTACATAATTGTACTCTCAGAGTAAAAAGATCAGTTGCTTTCAATGGATTCTCAGGGAAAAAATCATACTGGAGTAACATCTTCCCATAATTACAGGAAAGCTGTGTATTAAGGTCCTTGCTTAGGAAGTACCAATTCCTAATAAGATGCAAACTTAATTTCTTGTCAAGAGACATAAAGACTAAATTCACACCTCCTACTGCCTGCTTTTATTTATAGCTCTTCAGATCATAACTCCCTTCAATAAGTGGCACTAAAGGACAAATCATCAATTTAGAAATGCTCCTCAAGACTCACTCTCATCTCAAGGTCCCCTTCCATTTCAGATAGTAAGATTCAGTTACTTTATCTGGTAAAAGGCAAAGAAGGCAGGGAAAAAGTGACTGTGAGATGTAAAGGCATCTACCATGATAGGAAAGCAATATTCACCTATTCTTGGAGGAAACTTTTCAATATCTACTATGGCTGTTAAACACTTGTATCATAAAATCAATGATCTCAAAACAGAAAGCATCTGTCTGGGTGGACACAGGATTAACCATACCTCTACAAATGCATCTAACTCCTCTCTTTAAATGTCTTCACAGAGCTGAAAGTTATAGATTGATAGACTCTAAAACAAAATTACATTCAGACTACTATGTTCTTCCCTTAGAGACTCCTACAACATTGTATTTCTCTTGTGTTATCCATAAATTTAAAGAATCATGCAACTCAAAAAAGGAGACTGAGAAATCTTCTAATCCCAATCCCTCGTTTTCCAGAGTCATTGGTTTAGGGCTTCATAATAGCACATAGGATACCAGGAATATTACAAATGAAAAGTATTATGACATTATTCCAGTTACCAACCTCTGCTTTCTTTCTTACTGGAAATAGTATACCCACTTGATTGGATAGTATATTTAGCCATCAACATTAGAGATGAGAAAATGCTTCTTACTTTAAAGCCCTTAAATAAACAAAAAATATTTTTGTTATTTCCTTCTTTATAATTTGCAAATTCTCAATATATTTGCCTTTCAAATATATTACCTAAACTGAAAATAACCGTGATTTCAAATACCATTAGTACCAGACGGTTAACCATTAAGACCAAAAGTTACTCAAATTATAGGCACACCATCCTAGCATTCTTTTATGATCATGAATATGGAAACTCTCAGAGCTTCACAAAATTGAAAGAAGAACTTTGAGAAGAGAGAATGGAAAAGTGAGATCAAGTCAGAGAGAAAGGGAATCAAAAATGAGAGCCTACAGCTTGGTATTCAGGTCAGAAATAAATTGGTTTCTTGCCTGACAGAGTAAGAAGACTGCTTATGAATACCCCTTTGGGAGGGCAGGTAGGCCTGGGAAAGAGGAGGTAGTAAGACTAAAATTTCTCTCCACTGTGAATAACTACTTTTCTCACATAATGGAGGAAGGAATCTTCATCCAAATTTGGTTACTTTCAAACTTTCCCTCTTTTTATCCACCTTTGAACTGAGTACTTTTATCCCATTTCTTGTTTGCCTTCATAGGTCATTTCTACGGCCAAAGTCAGGCTGACCAAATTAATCGCGTAGTTCCTTCCTCCATCTTCTGACCTGCAGTTCTTTCTCTTCATGCACAATCTTTATCTCAAGCAAAGAAAGCAGGATGTATAGGGCCCAGGGATTTAGCTCAGTGGTGCCATGCCTGCCTCCCAAGCACAAGGTCCTGAGTTCGATCCCAGGTACAAAAGAAAAGAAAAGAAAAGAATGTACAGAGGAAACCAAGAAAACAATGGGGATAGAGAGATCTGAGTCTAAACCCTGGCTCTATCTCTCACTGCTAGATGACCTCTGATAAAGCACCGTATTTCTCGGAGCCCCAGTTTCCACATCTGTAAATTAACCATGATAATTACCTACCAGGCAGGGTTGTAGTATGAATTACAGGTTATAGCATCCAAAGATGCCTCAATGAATGCCTGTAGCAAAATTACTGTAACCTGGATACAAGTATAGATAAATATTAGTAATTACTGTTACAACTCCAACCTGAGATTTTAGAATGCATGTGCACCTCTGCAAATACTTCCCTGAGTGTCAGATTTGAGAGCATTTCACTGGATTCCTCAAGTCTATACTGAAACTTATTACTCCATGTGTTTCTCCATAGTAATATCTGTCATTACTCAGTAAGCTGAACTCTGACTCCAAGCTGCCAATTACATCTTCTTGGTGCTTTTGATCTTTCTAATTTCTTAACTAAAAATCATCACCCAAAATATACACTTGTTGCCTTATGAAAGTGATTTCCAAATCAGCCTGACCATTATCAAATAGAAAGCTTCTTAATCTACAAACTTCATTAGATTCTAGAGAGGAGCCAGGAATTTGTGTTTAGATAGACTCATGATATAATTTTAATGGTTTGTGAGCTTGTAGAACTACTATATTGTATGAGCTCAGACTTTTCCCTCTGAAAAGAAACATCTGCAATCTAGAAATTACCCACTCCATTTCTAATTAGTAACACCTGCTCTGTGAACCCAAATTCCTTCCTCAGCTTCCTTCAACAGATAGTCAATCCCACCCAATAGTCTCACCCAAAACAAAACACATCCAAGATACAGGTAAACTCCAAAGGCACTAAAGCCTCCATATTACTGCAGAAAATTTGTTATAAACCACTTTGCTTTTTATTATTAATCCATCTCATGTGGGAATTTCCACAAGCAGAAAGGCTCTCCAAATGCCAAGAGCTGTAATTGCTTGTGTATCACTGAAACTTAATTATTAACAAGCCAGAAAGCCACTCTCCAAGACTTTTCTTTCATCGGCAGATCACAAAGATAATCCTGAGTTATGGCTTTAAGAGAAAAACTGAGGGACCGAAAGTCAACTCCTTTCTTTGCCCACGCTCCCTCACATGCCACAATACTTGAGCTTCATGGAAAATACCAATTTTTTTTCAAGGCACAGCTGGCACACACAATCATTTCTAGCACCTCAGAACCATGAACTGAGCACAGTATGTTGCCAAATGTCCCTATTCCATCTGTCGTAATTATGATGCCCTCTCTGCACAAGCCATACTGATGATTATGAAGATTTCAGTTGGCCGTAACCACCAGTCGTACCAGCATGGAGCTTTGCTGCACAGAGAACATCTGACTGAAAGGGCATCACCATAAAGTTTCAAATCCTAATAAAAACCACTCAGTCTGAGGTCGAGCAGCCACTTTTGCCTCCCACCAAGGATATCTTCTCCACCTGTTCAGAAGATCCGCAGAGCAATGGGCACCTGAGGAAGGCCATAGAAAAGAACAAACTCAAGCTTCCTCACCTGTCTGAGTCCCTTCGGCATTTTCTTTCTCTTCCCGAGGTGCTGGCAGAGATTGCGGTCATTTTCTCGATCTGAACTGTAGTGGTGTGGATGGCTGAGCCTGCTCTTCTTTGAATGAAAAGACAAGCCGTTGGTAAGTGCTTCTCGTTTCTTCTTACTCAGGGGAGTCTGGCCTTTCTCCACACGTTCCTGAGGCTTAAGTGCTACATCTTTCTGTAGAAGAAAAGTAAAGAGAAGTGGTTACACAGGTATCTAGGGTCACACCCAAAATACAAGCTAAACAGTACTAGTAAAAAGTGGGGGAGAGAGAAAAATGGGATATAATACCTAAAACTATGAACCATGGTGCTTAATTTATCTGAATCCTTAAGGCCACCACAAATAAACCCTATCTCTTCTTATTGGGCAGAAAACTAAAAAAGGACAAAGTAACTGTCCATTAAGAGTGATTTCACTGGTGCCTGGGATAGTGGCTTTGCATTTGATTTGGTGTGGGATTCCAGCACATGACATTCCCACAGGAAGCTCAATACACTTACTTTCCACATTGTCACATCAATTACTGTACCCCAAAAAAGTACTAAGTGAATGCTGGATTCAAAAGAAATTGCAGAAGACTGAACATATCAGAGCCAGGTGGATGTAAGCCAGCAAGAAACTGTCAATTAGTATGATTAAAATGTTTCCTTAATGCATTTATACTTTTACCACATTTTATTCTGAGCATCCTTAATTTCCACTTTCTTTGCAAAATGTAATGACAATACTAACTCCAACCAACAGCAAGAACTTTCATTTATCCTTGTATGTGGGTGGAAATGGGGGATGGATAGAAGATGGGTAATCAATTTCCTAGAATGGAGATGCACACCTGTAGAAATTCTAGAGCAGATTGTCAGTCCACAAGACCCGGTACAGTTGTGTGCCTGCAGGCAGCTCAGGACACAATGAGATATCAAAAGGCCTGAGTTCAGCCCAGACCCTAAGAGTCTTCGTTAGGAGACCTGGAGTAAGTCATTGCAACCCTGAGCCTATGTGCAAAATGGATTCACAAAACATCAAATAACTTGATGTGTCATTTGAACCCTAAGAAATGCTGTACATGCTAAATACTAAAATGAAAACGATTTGGTCCTCAATCATTTATAAATGAATGGATATGATCCTTCTCAAACAGAAAATGCTCCTCACTCTCAGTTTCTGCCATCAGAATGGCACATTTAAAAATAAAATAAACCAAAATTAAAATTACCCATTACCTACTTATCTTTCTGCAAATACTCCTTTCTCTTTCCTCCCTTCCATAGCCAGTATTTCCAAGGCAGTTATGTCCTATGCTACTTCCCCAACATTCACCACCTGACATATACAGTGCTCCTCCACATCACTCTTCAAATCAGTCATGCCTGTTAGCTGGACACTCAGGCCCTTGCAAATGCCTGAGCATCTGTGATGCCTCCAAATTCACATACTGAAATTTTTACCCCCCTTCAAGATGATACAACAAGGAGGGGACTTTGGGAATGATCTGATTATGAGGGGAAGCCCTTATGAATGAGATCAGTGTCCTTACAAAAGAAACCTAAACAGTTTGCTTGTGCCTTCCACAACGTAAAGAATAGCTAAGTGGCACCATCTATGAGTAACCAGCCTAACTAGATGCTGACTCCACTGGCCCATTGATCTTAGACTTGCTAGCCTCCAACACTGTGAGAAATAAATGTTTCTCTTTTTATAAGCAACCCAATTTACAGTATTTTGTTTTAACAACCTGAATGGGCTCAGACACGCTTTTACACTCTTTAGCCTTACCTTCCACATTCTTCCCTTTCCTATTAGAATGACTCTTAGAAGTGCTGCTGACTCAGGGAGTGTTTCATGCAAAACACTCTGTTCTCAGGCCTTTACTCAACAAATATTGTGCTAAATATAATGCCAAGAATAAACTTAGTACTCACCTATACAGGTGCTGGGAAGACAAATGTGTGAAAAAAAACTTCCTAACCTTAGAGGTCCTAGGATTTAGGGGACAAGTGCTAATCACATCATTCAAATATATAGGAACTGCAAACCAACTGCACTGCTCTAAAAGAAAAAGGGTGCTAAAACTGGGGGAAATAATGTACACCACAGTAGAGTGTTAGGGCTGAAGAGATGACTGTTATTTGATCTAGATCTGAAAGGCTGAGCCAAGAGAACAGCTTGTGCATAGGCCTTGTGCAGCTGGTAGTGCAATCCCTCAAAAGAAAGTGAAAGAAGGAAAAGATTAAGCAGCTAATATCAATAAACCCTAATGTTTTATATAAAAATTTTTCATATAAGTCAGGCAAATAATAGATGATCAATATATGCTCGCTAAATACATAAAGCTGAAAACTAGCTAAGACACCAAAACCTATAAAGCGAAGTAATGATAAAATACAGTAGTGATTTTTAAAATATTTTAAATTGCCACCAATAAATAGCAAAGCAAGCTAGAAAAGCTGATAATGGCAGGAAACCAATGCACTTAGCAGGCACTGCAGGCATACAAAAAGGATCATAGAAATAGTAAGAAATCCCAAAGGGGAGAAAGACCTATCCTTGGACCAAGAAAATATCAAAGATAACAGACCTAAGAATATTAAAGAAGTTCTATAGAATATAAACTCAATTCAAGAGCCAAGGAAGAGATAGTGTTTTCAGCAAACGGCACTAGAATACCTGGTATCCATATATAAAAAATTAACCTCAACCCTTTATTTGCATACATAAAAATAATTTGAAGGGATCTATGAACCTAAATAAGAAAGCCTAAAAGTATAAAACTTTAAGAAGAAATTATAAGGGAAAATATTTATGAATACAGGGTAGGCAAGAACTACCTAGTATACAAAAGACATGATGTATAAAAGAAAAAAAAATGATAAATGAGATTCCATCAAAATTTAGAACTTTAAATGACATCATTAAAATGAAAACTTGATCAAAAAAAAATCTACATAGAGGCATATAACCTATGACCAGAATATATAAAGAATTCTTAGAGCTCATTAATAGACAACCCAATTAAAAAGTAGACATAAGATGATAAATAGCCAGTATGCGTGGTTCTGGATCTAACTTCTAGCTGCTACCACTGCAAATGATTTTCCCTCTGCTATGAGTGCAAGTTCTGAGGCAATGAGGATGTGATGAGAAGTGCAGAAGGGGACAAACTGAGATTAAGGCAAGTACAAAGGCCACTGATTTCAAGGCCTTAGACTTTTGCATCCTATGCCTAACACTTGGTAAAGGTTGAACAAATGTCGGCTGAATTGAATTCTTTTGTCCTCTGTCCACTACTTTGAGTGGCTATGTCATATACCTGCTCAGCTAAAAATGTTCTGTGTTTAATCCACATTTAAATAAAATAGTCAGCTATCATGAAAAGACACTCAGGAATAATGGCAATGCTGGCAGAAGAAACCAGGTGAGTTCCATCTGAGCCATTTCTATATAATGATTAAATTGCCCTACTTTCTAAGAGTAATACCAAAGCTATAAGGTAAAAGAAAACCCTTGCTTTGTCCTACAACCCACCTACTGTTGCACCCCATGTACATGCAAAGTGTCAGATTAATAAACCACTGATATTTAATATCAACTGTGCTTTTTAAAAAATTTGGTCTCTAAAGACAAATCTTTCATACTGAAGGTGCCTCCAAAGTATATTTAAAATTATGTGCAATTCCATACAAATGTGAATTAATATTTATGAGAATATGTTATAATATTTCCAAATCCATTTTATTTTCACGTAGCATATTAATCAAGGCATTCTCCCTGTACTGCAGAATAGCTACACAGAACAAATGGACCCCATGCAGTGACATTAGCTTGTAAGAGACCTGCTTAAGTCTTAGCAACAGCAGTACAATCATTTTAGCTCCAATTAATATGAAGATTTTTCACAGGGGTGGGGGTCGGAGTGGATCAGAGGGTGTATAGAGGTGGTGACTTAGAGGTATGAGAAAACAGAGACTTGGAAAAGTTTTAATTATATAAAAAGTTTATATTTGCAGAGTAGAGATTATCTTAATATTTTAAAAGCTGTATCTTTATGAATTTCTATATATTCCCTTTGTCATAAACCTGAATAAACCAGGCCACTGTTTGTTCATTCCCATTATAAACATTTATTGACTATTTACTGTGGATGAAGTAATCATTTAACTTTTCATGGATAGTCTTGGAGGAAAAAAATGACTGAAATGCCTAATTATAAACAATAAGAATCAAAGACAAAAAGACTCATTATAAATTAATCACCTTATCAACATTCAGAACAGTTCCAAAATGATACACACATGTGTATGTGTACACATATACATATATACATATACATAACACCAACCTAGTAGTGGTAACTAACTTAATAATATCGTTAAAGAAACTGTGCCATTCTCTATAGTACTACTGCTATAATATGATAAGAAAAGTTATGTGGTTTATAAAATAACCTTTTTGGATCAATGAATAGCAATTTACAAAGGCCTATTATTTCATTATTCTACCATGATATAGGTAGGCTAGTGGTTCCCAAAGGAAACTGTTCATCAGAAGTACCTGAAGAGCTTTTTTTTTTTTTGAGACAGGGTCTTGCTATGTAGCCCAGGGTGGGCTTGAACTTCTATGCATCTTCCAATCTCAGCCTCCCGAGTGCTGGGATTAAAGATATGTGCACACCTGGCTACTTGGAGGACTTTTTGAAAATAGGATGACTATACCCCATATTCTGAAAGGGAAGCATTTACCAAATGAATGGAGGGTGGCAGAACATGCTACCAGAATATGTACCACTTGGTGTAAGGATTGCCTTAAACTGAAGCCCTTGAAAAACAGCGGATACAGTTAAGGACACTGCCTTACAGCCACCATGAGAAAAGAAACATTATCAACTGAGATGCTGAGAAGAGAAAATTCCCCTGTGAAAGATGCTCTCTCCCTACAGCAAGAGAGAAGAAACTTTCTTATTATCAGAAATGGGGTGACATGCCTAGAAAAAATGTGTACAAACAGATCTTGTTAAAATAACTCTTAGCTACCTTTCTTCACACATTTTAATTTACTTTCCCACAACTCTCACTTCTAAATAAGCATTTTGGTTTTACTGCTTTTGGGGGGTTTTATTGGGGGCTCTCATACATATGTAAAAATGTATGTTTTTCTCTTTTTATTGTATTTCATGTCAA